GACGGCCCCTCTCTGGGGGCCTCTTTGGAAACCGTTTCATCTCGCTCGCACCACTTGTGTTTACTGCCTAGTCACGTGACGTTATCGGCGCTATTTTTAGCAGGGCTTTCCTGAACAATTCAAGTGGTCAAACTGGACATTTGGAACGGACTATGAATATGGGGATAGCGTGGTAACATAAGTGGAAGTGCATATAATACATACATTCATTAAAAAAAACACGCCTTTTCACGTGATGTCCCTTTAAGGTGCTTTACCAAAATTGTGAATTTCATGACCCTGGGGTCTCGCGTTTACCCCCTAAGGAAGGGAGGGGCAACATTTATTATGGTTTATAATGGCAAATGATACTTTGAATATTACATGTAAATAACTTGATTGGAATTATAACCCTGAGTTGACAGTTTGATACTTAGAAAATTTTGAGCCAGCCCTACACCCAAGGGCTGTATGGTGGGGCCCAAAGGAGTCGGTATGCTAAAATTTCTTCATTTTCCTTGTTTAGAATCGGAAGTGCTAGTTTCAAATACTTTTTAGTCTGAAATCTGTATGCTAGATATTGAATAAGGTGGTTTTATTGTTTTTTGTCACTTTGAATAATATTTCTGTTCGTGTCTTGGGCTTCAAATTTATTGACGTTTTCACCGTCCAAACTTTCACGCAATCAACTAAATTACAACTGAAAAGTAATATTTCCACCTTGAATGCTTGGAGATTAAAAACATAATGCAATTCAAAGGGAAATAATTTGCTTTTTTTTTCAATGTTCTTTTCAGTGGGTGGACCATGCCCAGCCGCACAGGACCCATGTTTGAACGGCGGCATCTGTACAGTGACTGGGTCTGTGACCAGCTGTGCCTGTGTGGGTGGATTCAATGGACTATTCTGTGGTCAGTGTCAATATAAAATTATTGATGGAAGTTGATATTTGTGTAGAAAAAAATTCTCAATATCAGTTGAAAATTTAGTTTTAACTTGATATTTTATACGATTATTGCAGTAAATTTGTTCTTTATTGACTCAATTTATGAATCGCTTTGAGACGACCTACGATGTAGGTTGTGATAAAGTGGTATATTAGAATCTAGAATTATTATTATTAAAATGTTTGATTAATTGTTGAGTCACTATCTCTAGTTGAATAATTTGTGATTGTTCTTACCTGTGACTTGTATGACTTAACCTGTGACTTGTATGACTTACCTGTAACTTTTATTTATGACTTACCTGTGACTTTAATGACTTACCTGTGACTTGTATGACTTACCTGTGACTTGTATGACTTACCCGTGACTTGTAGGGCTTACCTGCTATTTGTGATTACTGGCGTACCTTGACTTACTTGTGACTTGCATGACTTACCTATAATTTGTGATAACCTCAACTTAGCTGTGACTTTTATAACTTGCCTGTAATTTGCCATTACCTTGACTTACATATGACCTAATGATTACTACATTGACTAATACCTTGTTGGCTCATCTGCCCTTTGGGCAGGTGAGCTTATGCCATATGGTCCGTCTGTCCGGCGTCAACTTTTTATTTTAAACAACTTCTCAGTAACCAAAAGGCCTAGGATGATATTTGGCCAGTAGCATGTTGGAATCAAGGGCTACCAAGTTTGTTCAAATGAATGACCTTCATCCATTTTCAAGGTCACAGGGGTCAAATATGTTTAAATCTTTAAATGACTTGTTCTGGCCAGAAGCATGCTGGGACAGAAGGCTATAAACTCTGATCAAGTTAATGTCCTTGTTGGACTTTCAAGGTCACGGGCGTTATGCTTAAATCATTTAATATATTCTAATGAATTGAACCCGGATATTTTACCTGTAGCTGTATATTAGTCCACTTTTAAGATTACAAGTGTGAGATTAATACCAGGTGAGCTATTTAGGCCCTTTGGGCCTCTTGTTACTTGTTACCTCACCTGGTCTGAAGGACCAAAGTGAGCTTATGCCATACAGTACGTGGCATCCGTCCGTGCTTACGTCAACAATTTCTTTAAACGACTTCTTCTTCTTAACCACTGAATGGAATTTAACTAATTAGGTAGTAGATTCAAAATTGTACTGGGCTGACCCCCAAGGAGTTGAGTGACGGGGCCAAAAGGGGGCAAATTGGCTATATTGCTACAAACGACATCTTCTGTAGAACTATGCCATGGATGTTGATCATATTTGATCGGAAGCATTCATGGGAGGCAGGGATTCAAAATTGTACAAATAGTGTGGCTGACCCCCCAGGCTAAGGGGTGGCGCCAAAAAAGGTATTACTTGGAAATGGTTGAGATCCCCAGACCGTATAACCATATATACAATTGCCGAGTACAAAGAGAAGAATGCACATTTGCTTCCAGGATGGCCGTGGGGTCTGCCCCACCCTTGAAGACTTAACCCCTGGGTCAAAACTTTGAAATGGTTAATATCACCACCTCAAAACAGCTATTTATACAATTGTTGGTCATAAAGAGACTAATGCAGTCATGCTATTAGAATCAGTGTTCCCCCTTAGTCCTTAGTACATAGGGTACATTGTACCCTCTGATTAGTAATTGTGTGGGTACAGTCATCAAGCTGCGAAGCAGCTTGACGAGGAGCGCAGCGACGAGGGGGGCTAGGTTTGGGAGGGGGCCCCCCCCTCCCATGGTAAGGGGGGTACGGGGGTACTCCCCCTGATTTTTTTTGAAATCTGGAAGCTCTGTGGTGCATTCTGGGGTATTTTGAGGCTAAAAAACAGATTGGTACTTTGTCAAAAATTGTCCCTCTTAATCAGAATTTTCTTTTTGTAAACTGCACAGCCACATGACTGACATAAACTGTATCAATTCTGCTTGAATTGGAAACTAACTTTGTATTACAAAATAACAAGGAATGTTAATGCAAACTTAATGTAAATTATTTTAAGTCTCATGCTTTACTATGAATTTTGTTAATTTATCAAGTGTCAATGCAAATTAATAACAAGTCATTTAATTCAGTGCAAACTTTTTTTATAAGTCTCATGCATTAGTTTTATGATTTTGTTTCATCAAAAACATGGCATTTCAAATCACAAATTAGACACTAACAAAAAACAACAACACATTTGAAGGGACATTAGTAGTTTTTATTGATTAATTAATAACAGAAACTCTTCCGAGGTTTGGTCCCGTCCCGTCCGAAATTATGTCTACCATGTCGTAGTCTCGTTCACCCAAACTCTTGTGCCTGTGCAAGCTACGACGAACAGAGCGTCTGGTTGAACGAGATCCCTGATAACGACAACATTATTCAGTGTTGGGAAATAACCGCTGTTGACTGCTGGAAACACGCTTCTGATTGGCTTATTTTATATTTGGAGTACTAAATTTAGCGCACAGCGATCATGGTCGGTCGGTCGATCGATGAACCAATTATTTACCTCTCCTTTTCAGAGATTACGTCAGACAAGATACATCTATCGTCAGAAATTGCAAACTATATATTGAGAAGCTAGAAATGACTATATTTTATTTTTTCTTTACCCATTTGAGGTCTTTTTCTTTGCGTGCAACATACGTACAAATCCAAACTTTCATGCATGACTTCCTAATTGTTTACGTGAATTACGTACATATCTACGTAATGGGGAACACTGAGAATTGATTCTAGGGTCTGGCCACAACCCTAGGGACCTAGTTTCTGAGTCACAGACTTGACTTACCTATAATGTGTGTTTACCTTCAATAACCTGTAATGTGTGTTTACCTTCAATAACCTGTAATGTGTGTTTACCTTCAATTACCTGTAATGTGCAATTACCTTCAATAACCTGTAACGTGCGTTTACCTTCAATTACCTGTTATGTGAGTTTACCTTCAAATCCTGTAACGTGCGTTTACCTTCAATTTCCTGAAATGTGTGTTTACCTTCAATAACCTATAATGTGTGATTACCTTCAATAACCTGTAAATTTGTGATTACCTTGACTTACCTGTAATTTGTGATTGCCTGTGACAGATGCTGGCCCTACTCCGGCTCCTACGGCACCACCAACAGGTACTACATTTAGGTGCACATTTGAATATGGTGCTGATCCATGTTTTCTGAGTCAGGAAACCTTGGACACTTTTGATTGGACTTTTTCAAAGGTAATGTTCTTGATACGTTGGAATCTGTAATTCTGTAACTGGAAATAGTTGTGACATTCAATCTGTTAATTTATTATATTTAAGGCCAAATACAAACGTTTTTCATTTCTGGTTACACTTATAACCCTTTTTTTTGTGCCTACCCTTACATTTTTTTGTCAATTTTCATTGAAGCGCCGTTACGATGAGAACACTATCTAATATAATTTTGTATAAACTTACCTGTCTTAATATTTTCTTAGGTACAATCAGCACAACATTATATACAAAGTGAAGGTGGTAAAACTATACTAGGTGTGCAAATCAATATTCTATTTACAAATAAGCTGTAAAAATAAGCTGATAGCAAATATAGTGTAGAATATGATAATTATATATTAAAAACAAACTTACCATGTCCGTGCTACTATGTGAAATTTGACTAACACACTATCGCTCACTATTTTTGTAGAATGTTGCGGCCTCTTATAGGTACGGCACGGGGCCGAACAGTGCTAGTGAGGGAACAAGCTATGCATTCATCTATGCATCTACATCTACTCCCAGGAGTCACGGAGCTGATGCCATTCTTATTTCTAGTATCCTGCCAAGTATGTAATAACTTCATGGCAAAAAAAAATAGAAGAACTGTTTTATTTAAAAATGAAAACAGAAATTGTCTTTGGGAACTCTTTCCAGTAACTTGAACAATTTTATCTTGGATCTGTTTTCAAATCCAAGAGATATCGCAGCATAATTTTCTGAGTGATCAGAATGTTTTTCATTTTGGTGAGATTTTATTAAACATATTGGTTCCAGGTAGTTTAGCAAAAGTCCTCTTCTTTTTGTGTAGATTAAAAGATTTTCACTGAAATGTATATGTGCAAAAGGGGTTTAAAAAAATTGTCATGGTCACTTAAAATAGACTGTTTTTGCTTCTTTATCAAACAATACTGAAAGAGCTGGACTGAGAGATACAAAATACCAAAATCAGTTACTACAAAACATACTGGAATGTGATTAGGTCATGTTTGCCGTCTTAGAAGTTATGTCTAATTCAGAAATGGTTCAAGACTAGAAATACACATGGACATTATACAAATGCATTGGGGTACCTGGTAGTTTATGGAAAAAACCCATTAATTAAGATCGTAGATGTTTGTCAAACTAAATAATTTTTTGATTTTAAAGCGCCTGTTCGGGGATGTAATAACACAATAAATGGGTCTAAATGCGATCTCTGGTCTTCCAAAAGATATACCACGGCAATATGATGGTAGAGTTCTGCTTGCAATGTCCAGTTTTGACCATTCAAATCTTGGAAGCCCAGCGTAAATTTAGCACAGATCTATTTATATATGTCACGTGGTTGTTTTCGAAATCGAGGCAGTTAAGATATCAACAATAGCACGCAGTCTCTCGGCCATGTCGGACTCATCTAGCGGACAAGACAGCAATACTAAACGTAAATAATTGTTTTAAGAGGTCATGTTTGCTGCAAGTGTAGTATTCCTACCTTTGTCGTTATATATAACTGTATTGATTCAAAATAATAAAAACAACTTTACAAATGAAATGATGACATGGATGACAGGATTTAGATTACCCCTCATGGGGCCCCATTATTAATGTAAATAAACGCAGCGATTTCCACGTTTATTAACATTAATAATGGGGCCTCATGAGGGGTAATCTAAATCCCGTCATCCATGTCATCATTTCATTTGTAAAGTTGTATTTACTATTTTGAACCAACCATAGCATATCGTTAGTGAAAACACCAGTTTTTGCCTGGCAATTTCAGGAATACTTGTGTATTAAATAATTAAAACGGCCCAAAGACATATCTAGACCAAACTTTCAACTTTAAGTAAACAGGCATATTGACATTGTGTCATTGAAACTTTGATAAATAGGCCTATCAATTGATTATAGACGTGTTTATTACGCACAACATCACTTTTTAGATCCAGTTTTAATCTTTTCTACATTTACTGTGATATAAAGAAAGCAGAATGTTTGAATGTACATAAGTTAGACATACTATATATATAATTGCCCTACAATATTTAAATTATGCAATCATAAACCACATAATTACATCATATATATATAATGATTGCATACATATTCTGTGATTTGAAAAATCCCTCTGTTATCAAAAATGCGAATACAATCTGTGCTGCGTATTCGTGTCCACCTACTATGCTGCTTCCAAAGCCTTTTTAAAGGGTTGTCCAACGCCCATTGCTTTTTAGCTCACCTGGCACGAAGTGCCAAGTGAGCTTATGCCGTGGCGCAGCGTCCGTCGTCCGTCCATCCGTCCTCGTCAGTCAACTTTTCCTTTAAACAACTTCTCCTGAAGAACGGACAGGCCTAGAGTCATGATATTTGGCTGAAAGCTTCGTTGGTAGGAGCCCTACAAAGTTTGAGAACGAAAATGACCTTGACCTGTTTTCAAGGTCACAGGGGTCAAATATGTCAAAAACTTCAAACGACTTCTTCTAAAGAACTAAAAGGTATAGAATCTTCATATTTGGCTGATGGCTTCCTGGGATAGAGCCCAACAAAGTTTGAGAATGAAAATGACCTTGACCTACTTTCAAGGTCACAGGGGTCAAATGTGTCAAACACTTCAAACGACTTCTTCTGAAGAACTGAAAGGTATAGAATCTTTATATTTGGCTGGTGGCTTCCTGGGATAAAGCCCAACAAAGTTTGAGAATGAAAATTAGTTTGACCTTCTTTCAAGGTCACAGGGGTCAAATATGTCAAATGCTTCCAACGACTTCTCCTGAAGAACTGAAAGGTATAGAATCTTTATATTTGGCTGGTGGCTTCCTTGGATAGAGTCCAACAAAGTTTGAGAATGAAAATTAGTTTGACCTTCTTTCAAGGTCACAGGGGTCAAATATGTCAAATGCTTCAAACGACTTCTTCTGAAGAACTTGAAGGTATAGAATCTTTATATTTGATTGATGGCTTCCTGGGATAGAGCCAAACAAAGTTTGTGAATGAAATCGACCTTGACTTACTTTCAAGGTCACAGCAATCAAATCTGTCAAATAGTTCAAACTACTTCTTCTGAAGAATTAAAAGGCATACAATTATAATATATAATAGAGTAGCTTTAAGGAATAGAGCTAACCAATTGGAAAAGGAAAATGACATTGACCTACTTACAAGGTAACGGGGGAAAAATATGTCGAGCAACTTCTGAAGAAGAATCAAAAAGCATAGAATCTTATAATAATATTTTGCTCATAGTTTTAACAGATGGAGTCAACAAAGTTTGCGAGGGAAATATTTTTAGTGCAATATAATATTTAATGAGAATATTTTGCTATGACTGCTTAAATATTCAGGTGAGCGATACAGGCCCTCTTGGGCCTCTTGTTTCTGCTTTGTAGTGGACTCGGTATTCGTTCTTTGACGGTACGTCGTGCCTGTCATGGCTTTGCACACATCTTTGTTTCGCCGCGATGTTTACAATGGCCTTGTTGATGAGGCGCATGCGGTAAAATTACATCACTGATCTGGGTCAAGTGAGACTTTTAGACTGTCAGGTGACGATTGAGGATTTGGTAAAAATAATTATAATTTTTCCTTCAAGGGAGTGAATTTCACAAAAATTTGAATCGCTATCTTTCTTAAGGAAGTATTTTAAACATATATACGCCATTTTAGCAAATATAGAATTGTTTCCCGGAACAGGCGCTTTAAAGGTGAATGTTTCATCAGAAATAATTTGTTGACATTGTCAGCATTTATGGCGAGTTTTTTTGAAGATCCACTTAAAAGATGCATACCACAGAAACAAATACATATAAATTAAGGAAAGTTAGTATACTATTGATAGCAAAGATTTATTTTATCAATGGCGTTTCTATTTCACGTATCTTTTTGTCATGTATAAATGCAGACATCCAGTTAATGTGCAGGTTTAAATTCCATTGTCATGTCATGATAATGGTCACTATGAGCAGGTTTGACTGTAATTGTAATTAAAACTGAAATATTTATGTATGGTTTGGCATACAATATGAAACAACTTTGAAGGACAATACACTGTAAAATACACGTATGCATATATTATGACAACAGAGTTTCGATCTGTTTTTGACAAAGTACTAATTTGCTGCAAAGTCATGTTTTTAGTATTTAGAATTTGGCCAAGTACATATTCTTGCAACTTTGCAGCAAACTGCTGCAAAATTGCAGCAAGCTGCAACAACCAGTCTTTCTGGATACAGTTATTTTCTAAGTTCACATTCAATCTTTTTATATTTTATTATTTTTTTCCAGTGGAGGATTTATGTCTAACCTTTGACTACCACATGTATGGATACCATATGGGGAGCCTCAGCGTCCTAATCAACGACGTCAGTTCTGCTGCTTTAAACCCCACCATGAGAGTCTTGTGGACTAAGAGTGGTGACAAGGGAGATATATGGCATAACGCTGTAATCCAGATCCCTGCAACACCATCTCTAAGGGTGTGTATCTATAGATATGTTTTAAATCTGACCTTTAACTCATTCACCCCTGAAATCTCTTAATGAACTATTCCAGCCATTGAATTGGAAGAGTTCAAATGTGTTTTCAGGGGTGAACGAGTTAAAGATCCTCATTCCATGGCCACTGGATCCTTGTTACCACTGCCAAAGAATGTAAATATGTATTGAAAACTTAGTTTCACCATGACTACAGCATTTAAAAATCCTTTCTTCTCAAACTTTTATAAAAAATCATGATGATAAAATACACAAAAAATAATCAAGTTTTGAGTGTGGTCTTGCCCCCCAGGGGCCTGAGGGGTTGGGCCCTATAAGGGAAATATAGCAAATTTTTCTTTAAAATCTTTCTTCTGTAGGAATGAAATGATTTGGTCTGAATCATTCTTGGGTGAAGGGGAACCAATTTTGTATAAACTGTTGGTCTGGCCCCCTGGGGGCTGAGGGGTGGGGCCCAATAGGGGAAATATAGCAAATTCTTTCAAATCCTTCTTCTTCTGTAGGAATGAAAGGATTTGTTTCATATTTGGTCTGGAGCATCCTTGGGTAAATGGGACTCAAGTTTGTATAAACAGTGGGTGTGGCCCCCCCTTGGACCTGAGGGGCGGGCCCTATAGGGGAAATAGAAGTAAAACCTTTATAATCCTTCTACCGTAGGGATTAAGGGATTTTATCCTAATTTAGCCTGGAACATCCTTGGAAACTGAATTTCGTATAAACAGCGAGTGTGGCCCCCCCCCCCTGCGGGCAGAAGGGAGTGGCCCAATAGGGGAAACATAGCAAATTCTTCAAATACCTTCTTCTGTACGAATGACAGGATTTTGTCCAAATTCGGTATGAAGCATCCTCTGGTGAAAGGGAACCAATTTTGTATAAACTGTGTCTAACCCTCCTGGAGGCAGAGAGGCGGGGCCCAATAGGGGACATAGAGGTAAAATCTTTAAAATCCTTCTTCGACCATCGGGATTAAGAGATTTTAACCTTATTTAGTCTGGAGCATCCTTGGGCCAAGGGGTCTCAATTTTGTATTATTGATGGTTATGATCCCCCCTAGGGGCATAGGGGTGGGGCTCTGTTTGAAGTTTGTTCTCGCTATATCTCAAGTACTGGATGGATCTTTCTGAAATTTCATATGTACTTACAGCACCTATCATTTGTGCTATATCTTTACTTTATACCAATTATTTTAAACATATTCAGATGAGCGATACAGGCCCTCTGGGCCTCTTGTTTATGTGGTAACCATGGTTTTTACACGTCCCAAATTTGGGGAAAACACTTTTTGAAAACAATTTCATTATTCTAAAACAAATGTTTTCAAAATGTATTTTATAGATATATATTGTATATATGTAGGTGTGTAATGTGCAGGATGAATCCACTATCCATGTCCTTTATTTTTAGGATCAGGCCATTTCTACTATACTCTGCTACCATTGATCCATATAAACCTCCCTCTTTAAAATCCAACTGTTTTGCTCTGGATCTAAGCATTTTTCTGCACCCTAGATTGGAGTTGACTTATTGCAGGGCTGACGGATCATTGTACCTGTGCTATGAAGAATATCAAAGAGCATTTCCAAGATCAAACCCCATCTGTTTTACTTTCATGCCGTCATGTGATGACATTCATTCAACTTATATCATTAACAAGCTGACATCTTCAGGGACCTTGGATTTTGAAGAAAACATACATTATTAATACGATATCTCGATGACTTAAGGTGGCTCCACCCTTTCTCAATTAGTCAGCAGAATTCAATGAAAGTCTCGCATAATGGTTATGTCAATATGTAGAGATGATTTTTTGAAAATCTAATCATTCAAATAATCTAGGGATTTTTTTGTAAAAAATACCGAAAAATTGAATTTGACAAATTCAACACTTTCACATTTTTAGGTGTGTGGCGTTGTTCAAAACTATCACAACAATAAAATAATGAAAAGAAACATTTCTAATCAACCCTACAATATTTTATGTATCATAAAATATCTACAACATGTTACAAAAAGCGTTTTTTATTGAAATTGTATGGATAAAAGTTACTAAATACAAGCTAAAAGCAAACAGGACACATAGCGTCATACAAAAAGAGTGAAAAATTAAACCAAATACACACAAAGTCTTTATAATTCATTTATTTTACAATTTACTATAATGTTGATCCTGATGAGAGTTGTCTACCTTGAAAAAAATCGGAAATTTTTGCAGCGGGATAGAATTTATACAATGACACTTATTTTCTTTACTTTACCAAAAATGACGGAAATAAATTAAATTACTATATTTAATTGTCAATTTACTGTTCTTTTATGGAACAAAATTATTCTCAATCACGACACTTTGGACATCATTTCAACCATATCGCATGGTATGCCGTTATCACGTGCACGCACATGCACTTGCATGTTATAGGGATCTTGATATTTTACAAACCACAATTTTTACAGAGTTGTATTGTAATTGCATTTGTGAAACGATTTATTTTACGGAGCGTAACTCGCGTCGTGCGTAAACTTTTACATTTTCAACTTCTTCTCAAGAACCAGTGGATGGATTTTTTTCAAACTTGGTCAGAATCATCCTTGGTAGATGAGGCTTCAAAATTGTAAAATTGGGATTCCTACCCCAACCCCTGGGGCCAGGGCGGGGCCCCAAAGGGAAAATTAATCAATATTTCAAAAATCTTCTTCTCCAGACTCAGAGGTACTACAGTGATTTTCTTTACGTGGAAAGAAAGATCATCAGGGGCTTTATTTAAATTGAAAATATCAGGACCCCGAGCTATCCGTTCTCCCTTGGGGAGGGGTTAACGTTTAATATAGTTTATATAGGGAAATAACACTTTTCGGTATATATTTTATCCATTTTCAGCAGAAAATTGCTCAAACTTAGTCAGAATCATCTTGGGTAAATGAGAGTTTTACTTTGTAAAATTAGGATGCCTGCCCCATCCCCAGGGGGTAGGGCGGGGCCCCAAATGGAACATTTACCAATATTTTCAAATTCTTATCCATTGATGACATGACAAGTATTGTATTTCACTTAGTTTACATGCTGATTTCCACATCACATCTAAACAATAAAATAAAGCTACCAGTACCTTTGATATAACTCAGGTGACCGCTAAGGCCCTTGGGCCTCTTGTTGTTACTCTTATACTAAAAGTCAATCGGATTAAATCATCACATATCATACTATGAATTCACTAGTTTTCTTGATTTTTTTAATTTCGCTGATTTTGTGAGTTTGAGCGAAAAAGGCTAAAATCAAACTGCAGCATATTTTACGATATACCGTATTTGACCGCAAATAAACCCCCTCTCGCAAATAAGCCCCCTCCCCACTTTGGCAAATGTCCTGGGAACAGGGTGGGTGCCTGCAATTAAACCCCCTCCCTAATTTTGTCTCCATCTCAAAAAAAATGTGTGTCGATTTTTGTCTCCGACATAAGCAATTTAGCTAAATGGATGCAAAACAACATGAACCCAAAATAAAATACTACAAATAACTGTTCCTGAATTAGGCACAATAATAAATAGCATGTAGTGAGTGACATGTACTCTTTACCGAGTACTGAGATTCTGTATTTTTATTTTTTTTAAAGAATTATTTATTCATGAGTGAATTAAAGATGAATATTATAACACATGATTATTGAATATGATGTAAACATAACAAAATATTAAGTTATCTACATGACTTAACTTAAAACAAAATATCGTTCTGTTGCTGAAAGAACACCATGCTTTCAATTTTTTAACAGGTTGTGTATTTTGCATATTTCAATGTAAAACGAAAGATGTTTCTTGTATCAAATCCATTATTTCTATAGTCTGTACTGAAGTAGCAAATTATGAATACATTTTAAAATACATTTATGAGTTATTACACTGAGAGGTAAAATAGTTTTCAAATTAACAAAAAAGAAATGTTTTCATATCAAATCTTTCTGTCAATGTCTGTTCGTTCATAATTGCCATTCTGAAATTTGTATCAACCAGTACAGTGTTAACAAAGCATGGTTCCCTGGATCAAATATCCTCGTTACACCGGTTTCCGCGCACGAACAAGCATCCGCGATTTCGTACGCATAGCGGCAGAAAACTGTTGAAATTACGGATGACTGTCATGAACATGTATACAATCTACTTAATGGAAACAAAACTTAGCACATAAAACAGTATTTCCAAAAAAATGGGAACAAACATTTTAACAAATTTCTCCCGTCGGAAGTACCCGTCTTGTTTCCGTGTGTCTATTTTGATTTAGTGTTCAAAGAAAGATAACTCAAATACAGTGATCTGCAAGAGCAAAAGCTCCGTTTGGAATAAAAAAAAAAATATCTTTGATCTTGATATTAATTATCAAAACAAATTTTTTAAAATTTCACATTTTTTGATTTTTAAGTCACCTGAGCTTTTACCTCAAGTGACCTATTGCTATCAGTCTTCGTCTGTCGTCGTGCGTTGCCCGTTAACATTTTACATTTTCAACTTAAGCTGAAATACTGGCAAAGGGATTTCATTCATGTTTCATGGGAAGGTTACTGACATCTCCCTGACCAAGTGTTAGTATTTTTCGGGTTGATCAGAAATCCAATATGGCCGCCACGGCCGCCATTTTGAAAAACTATTTCAAACTTAAAGTCAAGTTCTGCTAGGCCGATTGAATTGAAAATTTGTAGGAATGATAGACTCATGGTCCTGACAAAGTGTTGTTATTTTTCGGGTCCATCAGAAATCCATTGGATTTTTGACCTACTTGAAAATGTTCCTGGAACATCTTCAGACCTTGGCCTACAACATACTTAAAAAACTATAAACCTGTCTTTTACCAATCAAAAGATACAGACTCCACAGAAACGGAATAAGAATAAAAACTAGAAATTGTCTGCTAACAATTTGACGGGCTTTTCACCTATATCGCACCTTTTAGTGCTGAATTGTCGCTATATGACTATTCTCCCAGTGCTGAATTGTTTGATTTTTTTTTTATATATTTTTTTTTTTTTAAATGGCTTTGAATATAAACTAGAAGTGTCTTCGCATCCAGTAAATGTCACGAGAGCCATCTAAAACATTTGTTAGGTGTTTTTTTACAGGTTGAATATGGACGTATGAAACAAGATGGCTGCCATAATGACGATCAAACATGTCCTAATGCTACATTCATTATCCAGCATTGGATTTAAACAAACATCAATTTATAAGTAGCTGAAATTAATTTTAGCCATAACATCACAACTATGAACAACTTTACTCATGGTTTTTTAGCTCACCTGCCTGAAGGGCAATTGAGCTTATGTCATGGTGCGGCGTCCGTCGTCCGTCCTCGTCGGTCAACTTTTCCTTTAAACAACTTCTTCTGAAGAGCGGACAGGCCTAGAGTCATGATATTTGGCTGAAAGCTTTGTTGGTAGGATCCCTACAAAGTTTGAGAACGCAAATGACCTTGACCTACTTTCAAGGTCACAGGGGTCAAATATGTCAAAAACTTCAAACAACTTCTTCTGAAGAACTAAAAGGTATAGAATCTTCATATTTGGCTGATGGCTTTCAGGGATGGAGCTCAACAAAGTTTGAGAATGAAAATGACCTTGACTTACTTTCAAGGTCACAGCAACCAAATATGTCAAATAGTTCAAACTACTTCTTCTGAAGAATTAAAAGGCATACAATTATAATATATAATATAGAAGCTTTAAGGAATAGAGCTAACCAATTGGAAAAGAAAAATGACATTGACCTACTTACAAGGTCACGGGGAAAAATATGTCGAGCAACTTTCAAAGAAGAATAAAAAAGCATAGAATCTTATAATAATATTTTGCTGGTAGTTTTAACAGTTTGCGAGGAAATATTTTTAGTGCAATATAATATTTAATAAGAATATTTTGCTACGACTGCTTAAATATTCTGGTGAGCGATACAGGCCCTCTTGGGCCACTTGTTTAAATAAATGGAAAAATATGTGTTTTATCACAAGTTGACGACAAGGGAGGGGTGTCAAAGATTTAGGATAAAAAAAGAGTAAGGGATTTTGTAGATTGTACCTTTTTACAAACAACAAATAAACTGTAAACAATCGAGGAAGGCCAACGAAACACAACTGCAAAGTATTTGTGCTTACCTCCGGACTGATTATTCTGTTTATACAGTAATTGTACCATCATTGAATCCGATTCAAATATAAAAGCGTGCATCAAAACTGTCAATGTTCCCATTTCATAATTATTAAAGTTTCAGTCAACATATTTACACTGTGAATTGTTCCTTGTAGTTTGGTCTAAAAACTATGAGTTAATCCTCTAGAGCAGATGCTGCCTTCAGGTGTTTATATGCCAATACATATTCTGCTTTAGTATGAAATAGCTCGAAGCAGGGGTCCACGCAAAGTGGCACTTTGCACTGTTTACACTGGTAGGTTGTCTCCCTTCCTGTACGATTAGGGACTGGTACACCAGGGTTTGAGGATTTGAAAATTTCCATTTCTGTTGGACCACAAACAAAACAACGCCGTTTTGCACATTGCCTTTTATCTGTTGGAGGCAGATGAGATGGAAAGTGGCGACCTTGAAGACGTTGTATCACCTCTGCAGCAGGTCGTTTCCTTCCTCTCTGTTGGGGTCCCGATACCTCGGCAGTCTGTATCAGTTGGGATACCAGCTCCCGTCTGTAAGTACGCTGTTGTACAGCATTTGGGGTCTGGTGTTTGTACAGGAGGTACATGTATGAGTTGACAACAGCCAAGCCTATAGTGTGAAAAAATACCCTTTTCCACCATTTGAGGGTCCTTCTCTCAAATATACCATTTACGACCATTTGGTCACACCTGTCTACTGAACCCATATACTTGTTGTAGCTCATGACACAATCTGGCATTGATATCGGTAGACCATCTTCACCTACTTTGCCAGAATTCATCATCACACCTGTAAATTCAGAGGACCCGAAAAGAATCATAGATCTATAAGCTTAATCGACTTTATATCATAACCTGGTAATTTTGTCCAATTGTTACAAAATAGAATTGATATAACATAATGGATCATATCTATACATGTATCAGTTTGATATAACATAATGGATCATATCTATACATGTATCAGTTTGATATAACATAATGGATCATATGTATACATCAATCAGTTTGATATAACATAATGGATCATATGTATACATCAATCAGTTTGATATAACATAATGGATCATATGTATACATGTATCAGTTTGATATAACATAATGGATCATATGTATACATGTATCAGTTTGATATAACATAATGGATCATATGTATACATGTATCAGTTTGATATAACATAATGGATCATATGTATACATGTATCAGTTTGATATAACATAATGGATCATATGTATACATGTATCAGTTTGATATAACATAATGGATCATATGTATACATGTATCAGTTTGATATAACATAATGGATCATATGTATACATGTATCAGTTTGATATAACATAATGGATCATATGTATACATGTATCAGTTTGATATAACATAATGGATCATATGTATACATGTATCAGTTTGATATAACATAATGGATCATATGTATACATGTATCACTTTGAATCGGTGGAATATAAAAAACAAAAAGTAGTAGACCAGAAGTACAAATTTTTTGGGCTATTTTTTTGTTAATTATTTGTGTGTTTATAAAATAGTAAAATACATGAGATATACATTTTAGTGTGATTAAGTCACATTGTCCATGTCCATGATAATAGTTTCTCATGCAGGAGAACATTTTCACAGATTAATCATCAACATTTTGCAGCATTCTGATTCAATTTCTAAATACAATTTACCTTCATGTGCAGTTGTGAGCAATGTCACATCTTTTTTGTCTGCAAATTTGACAAGAACAAGGGTAGAATTGTTCATTGTATAAATATCTCCTTTTGCAACACGCATTTCCTTCAGCTGGCGAAGTACACCTTTTCTGTTTGTACGTAATGTTCCACAGGCTAGAGTTGCATTTAGGTAGAGGTAATAGAACAGATAAGGGCTGCTGAAATAATTGTCCATATACACACAATATCCCTGGTTCAGGTATGGTGCGATGAGACGTACAACCAGATCATATATGTTTTCCCAAACTCGCTTACAACCTGACTATCTTTCCCAGTATACAGCTCAACCTGACAGCAGTATCCATTGTCAGAGTTGCACAACATGTACATTTTCAAGCCATATTTGCATGATTTGCTGGATTGTACACTCTGAAATGTAAGTTTCCTCGCCAAGGAATCATTCCCTCGTCAACTGCAATGTTGCTTGATGGCTTGTAAACAGCAGAAAAATTGTGAATGATCTGTCTGTAAGGTACCCCGAGTTTTTAAAGTGGTGTATAGCCTGCATTGCCTCTTTCAATTGCTGCACTTATTGTCAGACAAGTGGAGAAAATTCATTAAAACCAGGAAGCGGTCTCTTGGCATTACAGTTTAAAAAAATGGGGTGCTGATGACTGGATTATTTGACCAATAGTCCTGGATGTCCAACTGTTTCACAATACCCATTGCAATTGTCATTGCAAGGAAAGCCCTTATTTCTCCAGGAGTTGTTTCTGTAAATACTGTTCAGCGTATCTATTTGTCTCTAGAGCTATTGTATATATTATATCATCAGATATGATTGCCTCGAAATAGTCCAAAAACGATAAATGTCCCTCATCCTGTACGGACAAACGAACTCCAGAATTCCCGGTGAAAGTAGATGGACAAAGTCCACCTACAGTCCACGATTCGTCTGAAAACGCGTCTCTGTCATCGTTATGGGCCTCTATATCCTCATGAAAACCTTCAAACTCATCACTATCGTCATCATGAAAAATCTCCCGATAGATATCCCGATATAGTATTTTTTACACAAATATCCCCGGTTTATCGGGATGCTCAGATTTTTATAAAATCATCTCTGCATAGAGACATAAACATTATGTGAAACTTTCATTGAATTCTGCTGGCTAATTGCGAAAGGGTGGAGCCTCCTTAACCCCAATCAAAATGAAGGGAAGGTCACTGTAGTGAAAATCTAAACTGGAACTCTCTAATGTTTTCTCTGCAGTGGGACAGGAATCCTTAACAGCAATGCCTACAGTTTAACCCATTCATCCCTAAAGTCACATTTGAACCTCACCCAATCAGAGTCTGGGAAAGTCCATTTTAAATATGTAGGGGAGAAGGATTTAAAACAATTAGTTAATTATTCGTTTATTATTTTTTTTATTAAAACCCTGAATTTGCTTTTACAGGTTTCCTTTGAGGGCATTGTAGGTGGATTCACATCTGATGCCGCAATTGACAATGTTGTTCTTGGACCAGGATATTGTGGTAAGGTCAAAATCAAGTAAAGATGACGCTTTTTGGCTTCTTGCCAGACTTTTGATACATATGGTGGGTGTATGCATCATTTTTGCCATTGTTTAATCCATTTCATGCTCGTGGCAGGAATCCCTAACTGTTCAATTCTTAATCTTCCATTATATATATGGTACCTCGCCGAAACATTGGTAGTAGTTTTGTTTTTCGAAATATAAACACATTTCATGTCATACAAACAGTTCCAATGGTTTGTTTACATAAGAATGATCCAATACCTTTTAATATCATGTTTGATACAATTGCGTAACATTGACACAAGTCTAGTAAATGATAAGCAGTTAAGGTTAGCAGAGTGGTGCTATACTCGTACCACACTGGCTAGCTGTCGGTTAACAACAGCGGAGGGCACGTCCACACTTGCGAAAGGGTTGAAAAAACTTGACTCCCAAGATGTTAGGTTTTTAATAAACGAAACTACTTTGTTGATTACCTTTATCATTTTTAGAGAAAAAAAACTTTTTCAAGAATGGTTCTTAATGTTATTTATGTAGATTTAAACCGTAAGAATGGTGCAAAGTGAAAGGAATACACAAACCCGAATATACATTTTCAAATAACAAATTTATATACAAAAAAATAACGAAGAATAAAGTGCTACAGTATCCAAATTTCCCTAAGATTTCATCTTTCCACCAGCCAAATAAAAAATCACAATACTGACTGCTGCGGTACTGAGGTATTTCAATAATTAGAGTTTGACTAGAGAATTACATTTCAATATGAAGAATCAAAATAACCCATTCAATGGTTCTTTTAAGTATTAACCATACCACAAGCACATAAAAGTGACTCGAAACTATTCTACTACCTATCCAATTCACTCATATATAGTGTGCCACTTCACACAAATGAGAGTCCCGGCGCGTGAACCCCGGGTGTATCGCCGTCCACGTTGATGTGCTGCTTGAGCCGTAGAGGTGTGGTCGGCTATAGACGTACACTCAGATGTCCGGATAAAGTTCGGGTCGTTCGCCATGTTATGTATGTTGAACTGGTACTGTCTGGGCTCGAGCCATGCCCAGCTGTCCTGGTGTCTACCCAATCACTCGTTCACCACGGAGCCTGTCGGTCCAAAACTGTATTGACTATCTCGATACACTTTTGTTTACATTTTACAGAGAAAGCTTCCGGTTGACCCAGAAGTGAAAGCTACCTATGTGACCTTTTGTTTTACACTTCAGATAGAAAAATACAAAAAAATGCCAAATTACTCGCCGACAGCTGAATATTACTAACTACCCTTCTTCTGCTAACATTTTAGAAACAATTTAACGTATTAAGTACCCCAAACGAAGTTTGGGTACTTATTGTTTTTACTCTGATTCTTATTATTATTTTTCTTCTGTCTTCTTCTTCTGCTTTCCGCCGTAAAGGTTTCCAAAACTTTTCTCAGAAACTATGAGTCGGATCTTCACCAAACTTTTAGGGATTATTACTGATAGCCTCTAGATGTGCAAACACTTTTTTGTTTTTCAGTTTACCATCCAAGATGGCTGCCATGAATTTTTGAAATGTTTGGGAATTTAAAATTTCTAAAGGTGTTCGCTAAGGATATAGTCAATGTCACCTATCCTATTTTACAAGTTTAATAGATATTTTCCAATGCTTCCAAATTTGGCATGTAGGTGTATGATGGTACCACGAACTCAACCATGACATCCGTTTTCTAATTAGACATAATGGCTGCCATATACTGGTTACGGATTGGTCGGAACTCTGTTGTTTTTCGATTTCGTTCAAATTTAGTATGTATGTGTAATATTGCATTGCAAACTCAACTGCGACATTTGTTTTCTAATTTGACAAAATGACCACCATATACTGGCTTCTGATTGGTCGAAATTTAGATATTGTTCGATTTTTGTGAAAATTGGTTTACAGGGGTATTAGGGGACTGCAAATTCAATTGCATAGGTAATGTTGCGATATCAACCACACGGAGGCTTCTGATTGGTCGATTGACAAGTCAACTATCCTTGATCATTAATGGTTATTGTAACCAAGTAAAACTTGTACTCACTTTTTCATGGCCAAAACTAGCCCTAAACAGCAATACATCGACATTTTTCTCCCACTCGACAACATGCCCGCTGCCCAGTTGAATGTTTTCTCCTCTGCCCGGAGATCGCCCTATCTTATTTCTGATTGGCTAAAAAAATCCACCTGGCATTGTAAACCCCGTAGCTACCGATATCTACATTGTAAAACGGGGTAAAATTAATAAGCGGCAAAATTCAAATCCCGCTAAGTTGTGCTATATATATTTCTAGTCCAGAACATGTCAACTTAATTCAACAGGTATACATAACCAAAGAAATACATGTCATACCGTGACAATTTATATATACACCAGTAAAATGTCTTAAAAATTTTCTACAGACAAACGTTAGAATTTGGTCTGAATGCATGTTCTAATTGTTGAAGGCTGCTCTCCATCCCCATGTCAAAATGGTGGAACCTGCTCTGAGGATGCACTGGGACAGATAAGTTGCACCTGCATCCCCGATTTTACTGGAGGATTGTGCGAAACCTTAGGTAAGTGATGACATCAGTGTTTGGTTAGGTGATCAATCTTTTCGTGTAGACTGCAGAGATAATCCTGGAGGGGGTGGGGCCATGGGGTCAATGAACAACTCAACCTCTGACTTTAATAACATTCATCCGTTTGGAAATATGCGATATCAAAGATTTTCTTCATGCACAAACAATTAAATATACATATTAAATGTGTCGCATCGCTTAAAAAACAACTGGTCCGTTTGTCAAGCTTTGACGAAGTGAGCGATTTATATTTACCTGTACAACGTTGTCTACCTACATACTAGTATTCGGGTGCCATCGACCACCGATAAAACTTATCTTCATCACACTTCATACATATTGAATTCGGATTTGGCATTCATAAATAGAAAATGTCTATTGACGGGAGATTGAAAAGTGCCAGGTTTGATGTTCGGTTACCGTCATCTTCTTTTATTCCTGATCCTAGAAACATTGAGGGCGATTGTAGCACTTGTTACAAACAGTTCTAATGATGCAATTGAAAAGGTCATTTTAGTAAATGAACGAAGTCCAACCTCCTGATACTGATATTGATGGTGACAAATTTATGGCAGACCTATAATCAAAATTCTCACTGGGGTGTTGAATTCACACTTTGAGAGTTAATGGTGAATATAGCGAGATATTAACCTCGGCGAAATAAAAGCACTTCAGTATGCGAGTTCCTCTTCTGATGACGCTTAAGCCTAATTAAATTGTTTTTTCCCCAATTAGGTGGAAGCCTCCATTGTTCTTTCGAAGACTGCGCCCACTGTTTCCTGCATCAAGACCAGCATGATGACTTTGATTGGTCTATCATAAGTGTATGTTAAATCTATTGTCAACCAAGTCTTTGTTATATAGAGTCCCACATCAGAAATGCAAGCTGTGTTTTGGTGTTTAACTCAACTTTTAATTAATTTTACATTGTAATATGGTTACAGCAATTGCTCTGAGGTTCCTTACCAACAAATTGGACTATATTTGCTCATTATTGGTAAATCAAGTCTTTTGGAATTGGTTCAAGTTTTAGGGCAAGTTCTAGTTCTTTTGAAACTACTGGGCAGATTTCAACCAGATTTGGCTGGAAACATCCTTAGGGGATGAGGATTCAAGATTGAACAAATGAATTCCCTGACCTTCCACTTGAGGGATAAGGGGTAAAATAACTTTTTCTACATTGTTAGCTCACCTGGTCCGAAGGACCAAGGTGAGCTTATGCCATACCGTGGCGTCTGTCGTCCGTACGTCAACAATTTCTTTAAACGACTTCGTCTTCTTAACCACTGATTGGAATTTAAGTAAATTTGACTGGAAGCATCCCTAGGTGGTGGGGATTCAAAATTGTACAAATGGTGGGGCTGACCCCCCAGGGGGCTAAGGGGCGGGGCCAAAAGGGGGCAATTTGGCTATATTGCTACAAACGACGTCTTCTGTAGAACTGTGCACTGGATATCAATCATATTTGATCAAAAGCATTCCTGGGAGGCAGGGATTTAAAATTGTACAAATTGTGTGGCTGACCCCCCAGGGGGCTGAGGGGCAGGGCCAAAAAGGGTATTTGGCTATACTGCTTTAAGTGACTTCTTCTCTGGAACTGAGTGATGGATATCAACCTTATTTGACTGGAAGCATCTCTAGGTGGTGGAGATTCAAAATTGTACAAACGGTTGGGCTGACTCCCCAGGGGGCTGAGGGGAGGGGCCAAAAGGGGGCAATTCAATTTGGTTATATTGCTATAAACGACTTCTTCTGCAGAACTATGCCATGGATATTGATCAAATTTGGTCGGAAGCATTCATGGGAGGCAGGGATTCAAAATTGTACAAATGGTTGGGCTGAACCCCCGGACTAAGGGGTGGGGCCAATAAAATGTATTAGTTGGAAATGGTTGAGATCCCCACCATATAACCATATATACAATTGCTGAGTATAAAGAGAAGAATGCACATTTGCTTCCAGGATGTCCCTAGGGTCTGGCCCCACCCTTGGAGACATAGTCCCTGGGCCATAACTTTAAAACGGTTGAGATCCCCACCCCAAAACTATATCTACAAATGCTGGGCATAAAGAGACGAATGCAATCATGATATCAGAATAGACCCTGGGGTCTGACCGAACCC